CATCTTTATGTGTAACTATCAGAATTTGTATACGAATAATTAATATCCGAAAGTATAGTCATAAAATAAAATATACCTCCACCGAATAAAAAAAAGAAAAGAAAAGGGTGACGGATGATACAGCTGAACTTCAATATCGACTAGGTAACGGTAACAGGACAACATTTCTAAATAAAATGTACTATAAATTTTTTACCTTGCAGGTGTAATGCCCAAAAAAATACAAAATGATGATGCTGCTCATATCTTTTCGGGATCACCAACTAATAGTAACAAGCAATAGTTATATTTTCATGACAGCCCATCGGGGTTTAAATAATAACGACATGCGCAATGCCATCATCCTGGGCACACTCGGCATGGTCCTTTCAATTTTTTTTTAGTAGTTTAAGTGTCTGAGAGATAGCTTATCTATATTCGTATTGAGATTAAAAATTTTATGAAAAATTGGAGTAAAACTAAATTTTAATAAATAAAATCATAAATAAATTTTTTTATCAATTAACTTTCAATTTTTTAAGAGGTTACAATTTCTTAAGACCTTAGATTGGTGGAGCTGGATTCTTTTTTCAATTTCTAAAAAAAAAAAAAACACTCCGAACCAATGCAGCCCCAGCATCTCTCTGAACATTTGAGCTAAACTCTGGCATTTTAATAGTAAGCACATATTAAAAGGAACTCTTCTTTTTATTATTTTAAATTACGCTAGCTTACTCCCTCTAATTCTTTCAGCCAACTCTCTCACATTAAAAAATATTTTTTTATTTAAATTTAATTGTCTTAGTTTAATTTTACATAAAATTTGATTTAATAATTTTATATAATAAATAAATAATAATTAAAATTTTCTTATCTAAATAAAAATATTCAACAAGTATTACTTATAAAAAGAAAAAGATTTTAGCTTTTTTTTTATTTATAATCAAATTATCATTAAATTAATTTTTATGCACTTTAAAATTAATTTTTTTAACGATTTTAAAAGTACATCCCAGGTCAATTCCGTACATTCAAAGAAATTAACTTCATTAGATTTTGAACCCAAGACTTAAATTGATATCATTATCATTGGGCACTAACCTCAAAGATTTGAACCCTAAATATAATTTATAAAATTTAACTTATAAAACGACATTTATTTATCAATAAATTTAACTCTTGGGTTTGAAAAAAAATTTTCAATTATTATCTATTTATTATATAAAATTATCTAATCAAATTTTATGTAAAAATCAAACTAGGATCGGACAACCGGAGGTAGAAACTCTAACGTCTTGTTAATTGCCTGAGTATTAGAGAGATCCTGTTAATCTAACCATATTTCTCTAAACAACTTAATTTTAAAGCAACCCCTTTCACTGTTAAACCAAATTACCTTCATAATCGCTAATGACTAACCTAATTCAAGGACGGTCCAACTTGTCTTTAGTTGAAGTTTCAAGATCAAGTACCAAAATTACAAGGTTGAGGCTGGATGAAAAGAAACAATCTACGACAAAGTAGAATAATTTTGTGGCTCTTAACCAACTACACTTTCCACATCTGATTAAACTAGTGTAAAACTGCATTTGCAGAGCCAAATGAAACCTAAATAACTTTTACACACCTCTTTGCTTGTTATTACACGCTAAGAAAAATGCTTCAAAACTTTCAGTGTTCGTCTTATGATATATGAAGAGAAAACTCTATAACAACAGCAACAGTAAACAATCAAATAATGTCACAGTCAAGCCGTAGTTGCCGAGTACCTTCGGAACTCTGAAGCTTTAACCAGGAAGAGTAACTGACCTACATGACCATTCCACCATCAATGGTAAACACCTGAAAGACAACATCATCCCTGTCAGAAATGGGGAGGAAGTAAAATGGAAAACAAGACACCTTCAGTTTCGTGATACCAACAAGAAAGGTCAACCAAAATCCTTATTAGATGAGATGGCATGGGAATATCCAACACAGTTGAAGAAAGGAATGACCATGGGAGGGATCGGAATCTCTTATAAAAGTTCAAGGAAGTGAAAAGCCAGGCCAAGAAATGTGTGTACAATCAAGGGACAAGGGACAAGGAATAAACCAGGGTAATGCCAATGTACCAGGGACCCAGTATTCCTGTACTGAATTGGCCTGGAGTACCCCTTGTATTCCTAATAAAGTTTTCTTGGCTTATCAAAAAAAACCAGGGATCCAGTATTCAAAAAGAGGGTCAAGCAAATATTGGCAATATACAAGGCATAGATTCATTAAGCAAGCCAAGCTAACTTATGCAAAATAGAGCAAAGCATAGAGGGGATAAAGGTTGTATTAAGCCAGGCAAAGAAAATGTCCAAGCTGGGCTTGTGCAGGGCACAAGATGCCTCAAAATAATAGCATGCAGCCTATTCAAGCTGTTTAATTTAAGTCAACAAATTAAAGCCAACCAATTGGATTCATGAATGCTCATAAATCTTAAAATTGAAGAAATTTATCGGATTCAGCACATAGGAGTTGTGGTCTAAAAGGACATCATAGTAAGATAAGATCTAGAACCTGTCCGGTGATGTAACTGGCAGCAGGATTGAGGGCCAAAAATTCTACCAATCCAGCAACTTCTTCTGGTTGGCCGTATCTCCCTGTATATATAATGAATATGGTAATTACTGCCATAATTAATTTTAACTTACCAACAAGCCTGTCTGAATCCATAAGATAGCATTTATAGCACAAGTTTATAGTGAACTTAAAGGCAATTATTTTGGAAGGTTAGAAGCATACGCTGGCTATGACGCATAAAAACTATTCATTAAGTTTTTACTTAAAAGATTGTAAAAGCTGGCAAAGACTTGTTTCATTAATTAAGATGCAACTGGAATGTAACTACAACAGATGTGATGGTGAGAACTTGATGAAAAAAAAAAATTATACTAATAATTAGTTAGGGCAAAATATAGAAAGGAAATTTGGTGTTATGCAATCATCACACACCTAAGGGGATTGTTTCCAAGATCTTCTTCTCAATGTCTTCCCCAAGTTTTGCAGTCAAGTCAGATGCAATGAATCCCGGAGCAACAGCATTGACCTGGAAATATTTAAACCCTTATCAAAGTCAACTTCATTTAACTGGTTTTAGAAGCACCTCACTTCATCTTGTTCTAAGACTCTTGAGTCCCTCTTTTTCTTTGCTTTTAAAATATGTATACGATTTAAAAGTCAGCAGACTTTATCTTTCTTCAACTTAACCAAAATTTCATATTTTAGTTTATTTTTCTCGTATGTAAATGTACTACTCTTTAGGAGAGGAGATAGATTAAAAGTTAAGGTGTCAAAAGAACCATAAAAATTTTGCAGAAGGAATCAAGTATATTAATAGCAAGAGAGAGGGTAAATTTCCTAATTGCTAGAAAGAGAATAAAATCATTATAAAGCTCACATTAATATTTCTGCTTGCATATTCCTTTGCAACAGTCTTTGTCAGGCCAATAACTCCTGCCTTTGCAGCACTGTAGTTGGTTTGCCCGATGTTGCCAACAAGACCAACAACAGATGCTATGTTGATTATTCTTCCCTGAAAACACAGACAGACATAAACATGACATCATAAACTATAAAGCAACATTCTAAGGTGGACCAAAATGAATATCATGCCTTTTTTTTTCAGCATATGGTCAGAATGTCTCACACAACAGAGGAGGTAGCAATGAAAAGATTTAACAACAGGGGACTGACGCCAATAAGCAGAAGCTTAATTGGTTGATTTTGGGGGCAAAATGGTCAGTCCATGCCTATTTTTTACAGGGCAGGTACAAAGGGAAATCTAAAGTCTGTAACGTTAAGTTAGTATGCCACATTACCTTTTTCTTCTTCATCATGATTTTTGCGGCAGCCTACATAGAGTAAAACAACATCAGTTCCAAAGACATAACTTGAGCATCCACCAGCATAATTATATTTAATCAGATGTTGAGTATAACAAACCTGTGTACAAAGGAACACTCCTGTAAGGTTCAGATCAATAACCTCCTGCCATTGGGATTTCTTCATTCTCATCAATAAAGTATCCCGGGTAATTCCTGGAGACATGACGAATAAGTTAACAAGCTAGATTGAAATCAGTTAACTAGTGAGGAAAAACATGAATTTCCAATAACCTGCATTGTTGATCAAAATGTCAACAGTTCCCCATGCATCAACAGCCTGCAGAATCACAACTATTTAAGCATAAAATGAACGGTACACAAGAATGCCAAGAATAAGATGGGGGAAGGAGGATATGCTCACAGTTTTGATCATTGATTCAACATCAGCTTCTTTTGAGACATCTCCACCAAAAGTAAGAGCCTGACCACCACATGCCTCAATCTACAACAATAGTCATACAAAATTCAGTTAGTCATTTCAATTACGCAGAATTGATTCAATGCAGACCTACTCACTGTGTTTCAGAACTCTGATGACACAATGGGGACGGCCTTTTTTTCAAGTAGTCTATACTAAAAAAGACCCAACGAAAAAGGTGCAAAAGCATTAAAAAAAAGTTGTGCACAATTATTGATGTAAATTTCTTTTAAAAGAAAATTCTTAACCTCATTAGAGACTTCCTCTGCCTCCTTTGATGACCTAGCATAATTTACAAGGACCTGTAATAGCACACAGGAGTCCATAATTATCAAAAAGAACACAAGGTGAATGAAAGCTGATAATCTATTTACTAGAACAATTATGATTTAATTGTTGCTAGCAATCAAGTATGACGGGCCTTGGGAAACCATACAGCGCATAGGCTAAATGTATGACACTTAAACAAGAGTAAAAACGGTAATTAAGTGTATATCCTAGTAATCATGAATTGTTGGTTTTTGATCATTGAAGTGATTGATATGATATCTCACATTGTTCTAGATAAAGAATATGATGGATTGGAAACAGAAAGTCTGAAAGTGTATCTAAATCCTTCTTTAACTTACTGAGGAAATTTGAAGATAAACCTCAAAGATATACAAAGATTCAAGGTTTCAGCCAAGAATCCCTAGTTACCTTCTTTTTATTTCTATGCCAAAAAAAAAAAAAAAGAAGAGAGAACAGGAGACAAAAGTTTCCCAAGTGAAAAGTAAGAAGCTAAGGGATACCAAGTTACCTAACCTTGCAACCTGCTTTCCCCAAGGCCAATGCAATTGCTCTACCGATGCCTCTAGAGGCTCCAGTCACTATCACTACAGGAGCTTCAACTTTTTGACCAGCTTCAGTGCTAGCTTGTTGAACAGTGGCAACCTGAGTTCTTACCCCCGTGTGCATTACAACTAAACCAGAAATCACATTAGTCACGGCACTCTATGATTTTGCAAGACCATAACTAAGGCAGAAATCATATCAATCACTAAGAAAAGATCAATTTAACCAGCATGTTTCCCATTGACTTAAATAATTCTCTACTTATTTCCAGACTATGCTTGTTATAGAGTAATCTTGAGCAATAGTTCTCTATGTTTCCCATTCCATCAGTGTCTGCCCCTGTTTCCATTTCAGTTGCAATGTTCAGTTAACAGGCAGACATTGCAATTCACAGTCACCAATTTCAACCTCAAGCAACTGACAACTTCTCACAGAATATAGAAATTCATATATTGCTTTAACATGACTGTTGTCAAACACTTTCTTTCAGTAGTAAACTCCTAGTTTTGGTCTATTGTGGCAAAAACACTTTATCATTCCTTCCCTACAGTTCCTCCAGACTTTGCAATTCCTTTATAGCATTTTAGAAAGATCACGCATAGAAAAATGGAATTTATTCATTATTCCATGCTAAAAGATGTATTCAACTTGAGTCTCCAAGAAAGTCGTCACAACTAACTCAAATCACCAGAAGTGAACCACAGCTACCCCAGAAGAATTTCTATTTTCATCATTTTCAATTAGCCAGAAATACTCACCAGTGTCACCAGACTAGAGGAAAAATTTAGCAATCTTACTCTTCATGTACGGAAAAAGCTGCTAACTACCAACAATAACATTGGATTTATAGACGGAGAATTTAGAATATAGGAAACCAACCTTAGAGCAGATTAACCCTACAACAAATTCATTTACACAGATTATTTCCAAGTTTTAAACTGATGACGGCAAAAATTGAGAAATAGAGTGTACCAAAGGAACCTGGACCCCGATCCAGAGCAATTAACACTAACACAACTATCTAAGCAGTAAGCACTCCTCTCGCTTTCAACAATGGCAATTTCAGCTTTCAAAATCAAGAAAAGCACCACATAATGACATAAACAGCACAGAACCACAAACTAACAGCTCAAAAACGAAGTGCAAACCAAACATACCAGGTGACGACAACACAATCGAGCTCCTCGATCTGCAGTGGAGAGCAATGCGAGAACGAGACTGAACCGATCCTACTCCGTCAGTAATAGGAGACCATTGTCTAACCTGGCCGATTCTCCTGTCAATGGAGTCTGCTAATTTTGCGACCGATCTGAAAGCGACGATGTTGGATCCGGCAACGGCAGCCATCGAAAACGGAGCTCTGGAGAACAGGCGAACGGAGAAGAGCGAAAAAGGTAGGGAAGCCAGAAATGAAGCTGAGAGAAATAGCCCAGGTATAAATAAGCAGAGAAAGCGTTTTGGTTTTTTTGGTGTGACTTTGGAAGCTCCGCAGACAGGCTAGAGTGGCGATGGCAACGAGGACGGTGCGAACTAACCGTTTTCGTTTAAAAATTAAATAAAAAATAAAAAAATAAAAAATAAAAAAAGGCTAAAAGATGGTGGTTAGGGAAGCTACTCTTATCAGAGCCAGGTTTCGATCCTGGGACCTGTGGGTTATGGGCCCACCACGCTTCCGCTGCGCCACTCTGATGATTGTTGTCTGAAGATTATCTATAATTATTTATAAAATGAAAATGACTTCTTTTTATGTATTATTGATATACTTTATTTATGAGAAAAAATTAGGTAAATCAGCTCAACGGTAAGTAAGGCCCACATGTTGAGCTGAATATTGGGCCCATTTGTTCTTTATAAATTAAAAACCAGTAGTCAGTCCAGTTGGTGAGTTAGATGCATCTACTGAACCGGTAACTTTAGGTTTTCAATTTTTTTGGGCTAAAGTAGGTTTTCAATATTTTTGGGCTAAAGTAGGTTTTCAATCAAAAAGATACATTCTCAAATAAAATAAAATAATGTATTATTAGTTTATTACTTTATCACCATCAATAGCCTAACTTATTCTTAGCCAAAGAATGGTGATTTAGTTAGTGAGTAAATTTGCTTTGTTCCATAATTTCTTGATCAACATAAGATTCCCTTAAGAGGCTAATAAGATAATTCATCATAAATTTTTTAATCTCAACGTGAATGGCTTGTATATGATCCAACCGGTGAGGGATTAATCTCAACCATATGCAAGCTAGTTTAGAGATGCCCTCACCACTAAACAAAAATAATTATAACACAATATTATTTTCTGCAAAGGAGTTTGGAATGGCAACCATTAGCCAGAATGGGAAATCAATTTAACAATTTTCAACCACAAGCGCAGAGCCTTACAATGTAACAAACTACAACTGCAAAATATAAACGGGCAGCCCACAGGAACAAACTTCAGGATTATGCACTTCTTTGGGCTGGCTTTTTGGAATTATTGATTCGACGAACCTTTACAAATGCTTTTCCCAATTCCTGAACAGATGAAAAGGACAGGTTTGTTAGCATATGTTCAAAAATGTTTTAACAAAAAATGCCCTCCTAACCGTAATAAATGAACAAATAGAGAAACTCAAAGAAATCTAGAAATATAGAACTTCCTACTTTCCACTCAGACGACAAAATATCTCTGGCCTATAATTGGCCCTGTTTAGCCAAGTCCATGCACCTAAAAGATTTTCCTTTCTAATTTGGAGAATGCATTTTGAAAACTTAAAATTATTGCTGCAATTGGAAATGCATTTGGAGGAAATGATAGAAAAATGGCGACTCACGAGGAATCTCTTTACAGATATGCAACTAAAGGCTGGTGGAAGTGTAGAACTGCTGATCAAGAGGCATGAGTAAAGCCCCACCCAGTTGGGTACTCCGGAGCTTCAATATTGTAAATTTTTGGATTTGGGTAGTCCAGGGCAATATAACCCTCTCATTTCATTTTTTTTCTTTTCTTTATGGTTCTCCCACAGGGAGTGGGATTTTTTCCTTTTTTTGTTTTTTCATGGGAAGGAGGGGAGACACACACACCTCATATAAATTCCACCCAATTGGAACATCTATTTCTTTATTCCCCTTTTCATTCCTCTTCTTTTTCTTACCCATTTTGAGGCCAATTGAAGATACCCAGAAAGCCAGTAATATCTCTGTTAACACTGAAAAATAATTTAAAGGACCCAATCAATTAGAGTCACCAGGATTTCATTAATGGAAGAAGAAATACAGAGTTTGAGATTCAATCTCACTTCCCCTTTTGCTATTCCCTGAGATCCTTTTAACCTCTGCCTAGAGATTTTTCCCAGATCCTCATCTAACAAACCCTATCTATAATTTAAATTTAAAATCACAAATAATCTCTAGGAAATCACGTGACCCTGATTTTTTTCCAATTTGGAATTACAGTTACAACATCAAACTTCTACTCTTCTAAAAAGTAAAAACCAGGCATCATTTGTTATCTATTTTTGAAGCAGAACCACCTAATACTGGCTAAGCAGCCCACTTTAAATATACACTCATACACACATCAAGTGTTAATGCTTTCATATCAGGCCAATTACCTCAGTTGGTTCCTTCTGAGTTGTCTTTGCTGTCCGAACGTTTTCCAAATTGTAATAAGCCCTAGCCTTTTCATCAAGAGCATGAACCATTACTCTGCCTGAAGAAAAGGAAAGACTGTAAATAAGCAAGGTGTACCTTTTTGAGAAATGACAATACCAATGATTAGATAACAACCTTTCAGAAAAATATGCATTTGGTTATGGCTTTCATATTGGTTACAATAAAAAAAGACTAAGAAATGTTATTGGAGGTCTATTCCTTTAAAAAAGATCAAGAAAAGTTTGACCAATTTGGAATTGTCACTTGTTGGTACCAGAGTTACCAGTTATTTAACATGTCGAACTATTTTTCTTTGAGCTCAAAGAACTGTATCCGATAAATAAAATTTGACAAGTATATATACAATACAAACATTTTAGTAACAACAGATTAGCGAAAAATGTAGAAAACAGCACGCACCAGAATCAATAACAAGTAACAACCCATTTTCCTGTCTCTTGCCCTTCCACACTTAGTAGAATTAACCGCTTAGCTCGTTGCTGCTTTTGCTTAGCCTGTTCTTGCAATTAAATATAATCAAAATATGCAGACAGATAAGAGGTCATGCTTCTACAGAATCTACACACAGTACTAAAAATACTTCAAAGAAATGAACAACCATCACTACTGAAAACAAAGTTTTACATTTACAATCTAAAAAATATTAGAAGGAAACGAAACTAAATGAAATCTGTTTCTTAGTTATTCCAAATTTCCAAGTATCAATTTCCCTATATTGGCATCCTCGTCTTATTTCACAAAACCAAAGCCATTCCACATGACACCACCTGGGAAAAGTTAGGCTTCATTTAGTATCATTGATGTTTTTGGTTTTGATTAACGAAACTTTAACAATCCTAAGGTAAAATCAACGAGTTAAAAAAATTAAATAAATTTCAATTTAATTATTAGTTTTGAAAATTTGTAGCAATGATACCAAAACAGAGTCTTACTCTGTTAGGGAGCTTTCAAGTTCTCATTTATTTTTTGCCTCAATTTTCCACACAGCCAAACAGAAAAATCAGCTGCATTCATTTTTCTTATGCATCCCTAGGAATTCATTTCCAGAAATTCTGAAAGTGCAATATTTATAAAACAAATTAAATTCACTTGTCCTAAAATGAAGTAATATTTTCTTACCTGCACATTCTCTGCAAGCAAAATGAGGTTAGAGAATCAGAAATCTTAGGAAAAAAGAAGCCTGCCTGGTAAATTAGGGCTTGAGCGATGTTCTTGACGTGCCACGTCGACCTACCAGTGACAATCACCATGAAGTCCGCCCAATCGCATTGCTTATCCACCGGAATCACCGCCACGTCGTCTGCTTTGACGTCGTTCAGAACCTTCTCGATTTCTTGTACGTTCAGAAACTCTTTTCTGCTGGAGTCCTGACTAGATGACGAGAACCGCTGATTTGAAGCAGAGAACCCTCCCTAGCTTCCATACCCGGTTGGCCAGAGAGGATGACGGCGATAACTCCGACGAGGAAACGTACCGTGGTCGAGATCGTACAGCCGCCCACATGAGTTCGCGCCACTCCGAATTAGCCAACAGCTGCAACGGCACACACTCCCCTGTTGCTCCTTCACAGTGGAGAACTTCAGAAGACATTAAAACGGCGCCGTTTAAGTGCATGTACTTGTTCCGTTATCAAACGGCGTCCTCTAAAATTTCCAAACCTTTCGCTATTAACCCTCTAATTTTTTATCTATTAAGGCTGTTTGTCACTCTAATTTTTTTTTTTTACTACTTTTTTATTATTTGTTAACTACATTAAATCTTAATTAATTTAAAATCAAATTATATCAAACACAATTTAAAAAAATAAATTTCTCAATACTTATTCCTCCATTCATAAGATTTAAAATTTTATTTAAGAAAAATTAAACATTTTACTCAAACCAAAGATACTTAAAACTTATCACTCTAGTTATATTGTACTTTAACTCACAAATTTTACTTTATTACAATAATTTATCTAAAAATAAACAAAATTTTATCATATGAATTATATGGTCATCTTCACTCCGTTACTCTGTCCTGCTTACTTTTGAATGCACAAGTTGAAAAATTCTACCCAAAACATATATGAATCTTATCTTTTAAAAAACATATATGAATCTTATCTTTTAAGATACATTAACATCTAAATTACTAAAAATATAATAAAATACGTAAATTATAAATTAATTTTTATACTTATTTATAATTGTAAATATTAAAAAAATCTAAAAATTCTTCTTGACTA